AGTGTGTGCTTATATTAGAGAATGATGTTCTAGAATGTTCTGTTCAGGCAAGCCTGTGTCAGTACATATTGTGTAATAGTATAGTGTTAACAAGGTGTGAAAATGTGATTGTGTGATAGAGGCATGCATGAGACATAAGTATTAATAATTAATAAATGTAAATGAACAATAATAATTTGTTTATAATAATAATAATAATAATAATAATAATAATAATTGTGTATTATTGTTCAATAGTACAATGTAGGTTAGTATTGCCATCTGCCATAGAGAGGGAAAGGAGGAAGAGTAATTTTAAACATTATAAGGACACCACACTCTCAGCCTGTGAGTACATGTACATGTATACATTATTGGTTTTTAATTTACATGTAGTGTTTCTGGAGCTAATGGTCAGAGTTTTTGAGTAAGTTATGTAGGATGATAAAGATAATCGAAGAACCACTCCAGGTTAGGATAGGCTTACTGAGGGTAATAGCCATGTTTACTGGGTCATTCTTTCTCCTATTTCTTCCTTCTGTCTTTTGTTCTCTCTCCCTCTCCCTCTCTCTCCTTTATAGTAAAAAGAATAAGAATAAGACCCTCTCTTGTTTTGAGACATTATTCATTTAAACAACTGGAAAAGATCAGCTCCTCCAACCTGATGAATTCAAAAGGCACTGAAAACAGACGGAGTATGGTATTATTGAATATAATGAATATTCACCATGTACAATAGATACTATACTGTGTTCAATCATTATCATGTAGTTGATAAGTTGTTCTTATTAATGAATGTCAGTGGCTCTGCATGGGAAGATGACAGTACCTCAAATGCTGGACTCATTAAGTAAACTCTCCTGGTAAGAATACTGTCCCTTCATTTAGCATAATAATACTTAAATATCCTAAAGTGTACATTTACTCGTACATGTATTAGTGACTGTATTATCTTATGTGTTTGTACTTGTAGTTATACACATGTACAATGGTACATAACAACATGTGTAATGTTATTACAGTATTGGTTTTCCCTCTTTTTTTAAAGGTTATACAAGAAGGGAAGACAGAAAAAGTCACAAAGATTATTATGATTTTTGCTGTTGTTTTGTTGTTTTTGTTTTTGAATAGCTTTAATAAAAATACAGTGATATTTCTATGCGTGAGTATTCTAATAACTTTTCTTGAGGTGGTAGCAAGGTATTGAAAACAACTTGTGGTTAATGCTTTTTTAGCAGCTAATAGATTAACAACAATGATACATAGAATGATTGTAGTATTGATGAGAAGTGAGTGATAGTCATTATATAGGACTGGTGGTGAATGCATACCATATCCTACATTATCTGATACATTACACCAGATCCATTGATGAATACACAAGATAAAAGCATCAATCTTTTAATGTTACACTAGAAGTCATTACATTGTCTATTGTCTCAACAGTGGTCAAGTCAATGAGATTGATAAGACTAACAGGTTGTTGAAGAAGGACCTCCTCACAGGATTGACCCTTTACACTCCTAGATACACCACATGTATACACATGGGTAGATCTAATGAGTAAAGTTGCTGTACTGCATGTATCTAATGGGGCAAACGCATGATTTGACTATTAGTATTCTAAAAATTCAAGATTGAAAAATTGACAAAAATAGAGAACAATAATTATTTTTATAATAAAGAAAGAAAAAGAGGGAGAAAAGGAAATGTACCGGTATGTAAGTAAAAGTGAAAAAGAAGATTAATTATTAATAATAAAATTATAAATTATTGTTTAGGTAGACGCTTTATTTCAGCAACAACATCATTTCTTTTCAAATCCTCAAGTGCTTCTATCAGTTTTTCCCTTGTAGCAGTACCAGTCTTTAACCAGTGAACTATCATGTCTTTACGGCATATATCTATTTGATGTAAAGAATTAAAATGAATTGTTTTTAAATCTTTATTTTGAATTCCAAGATATAGTCCTAGAGTCTCCCATTCATTGACTATGCTATTGATGGCTTTCAGTCTAACAGGAGCATGAGACTCATCTGTAAATAAATACACACATTATCTATTAATAATAATACTAACACATTCACTCACTTAATACAGAACCTGCTGGTAAAGAGTTGTCAATAGGAATAACTGATGGAGCAACTTGATCTGTAGAAGATAAAACATGAGAACATGCACATAATGTAAACACTTGTACTATGTATCCTTAGTTTGTACAAGAATAAATTTTAAACAATATACATATAAATAAACCAGTGGTGTATGCTAAAATAACTTACCAAATAGCCAGCAGCTTTGTCTCTCATCAGTCAATTCA